TCTTTCAGCTGGTTCAACAAGATATAATGATAATGGTGATATATTAAGATATTCAATTAATAATTTCGAAACTAAACCAGTTCCAACAGCTAAATCCATAATATGAAGATCTTTTGAATTGTTTAGTAAATGTTTTTCAATAAATTTGATCATAGTTATAGCCATATTGGAAAATATCTAATTATTCTTAATCAATATATGATAAGGATCAGCACGTATATGTCATGAATCAATTATTTCTTTTTGTTTATTATCATTCATCATTTTATATATCAATAATAATAAATACTAAATATATTAAAATAAATAATTATTGTATTTTCTTGGAAGATCTATTCATTTTGTTTTTAAATTCATACATTTCAAGCAATAAATCATAAGGAAAACAAAAACAAAACCATTAATCAATAAAACCGAAAACAAACCGTTTTCAATGTCATTCTCTTCACATCATTTCGTTAACATATAAAAAAAACAAACAAACAAGTTGAGAAGAATAAGTAAAGATATAACTCCTACAGACTAAAATAAAACGAATCAGTGATTCATATCGACAAAAACAAAATGATTAAAGTTAAGAATGTCAACTAAAATAAAATCACTGTTAGATATGTATTTATAGTTGATTACTTCATTTTTTCTTCAAAATGATATATAGATATAAGAAATGATAAAAAAAGCTTGTCTTTAAGAGTAGTTTTAATACAAATGAATATTTGTTATTATGTTAAAAGTATGTTTATCTAATATAATGATGGAATATTTTAAATAGTCATTTTAACAACACCTGATGTTATTTGAATATGATTATTGTCTGTTATTGAATTATTTTGACTTGTTGATGTTTGACAAATATTATTTATTTTCGATATATGTTCATACATAATTCTCGTAAAATCATTACTTAGATTTGGATAACGTTTATTTTCATTTTGTAATAAACATCGTAAATCTTCAAATGAATCTACGCCTTTTTCGTCATTACATCGAACATTATTATTATTATTTGAAAATGAAATATTATAATGAATTGAAAACTATACAGAAAAAATAGAGATTTTTTTAGATATATAATTTTGATTAAAATCAAAATTTATTTTTATTACGAATAAAATGAATATTTATGTTAGTTAAAAAAAACTCTGAAAAAACTCTTATTAATATAGAAATTATCATTTATGAAATAGATCAAACAACGAAAAGTAAAATGATTTTAACTTGATATAGAAAATATTTTTAGGTGATTATGATAAAATAAAATAATTAATGTAACATACAATATGATGATAATTAATTACTGATTTGACTGTTCCAGCTCCATATTTCCATTGATCTGAATCATGTTTTGATCTAAATATAAATTCGATAAATCCATATGATATGAAATAAATTATTTATTTGACTAACTGTTCTTCATCGTCAGATTTTATTCCATTATCATGTTTTTTTTCCAATTTTGATAACGAACTATTAATTAAATTAAATATTTTATTGGTTTTGTTGTTGAAACAAATTTAAATCGACGTAATTGTGTAGCTTTTGGTCTCTTATCAATAAAAATAAATAAAAGATAAAATTAGTTTTTCTTTTTTTAATTATTTTTTCTAAATACATGTTCAGGATTTTTTTGTAAACAAACTTTAACAAATTCTCGAAATGCATTCGAATATTCTTTTACAGATAATTGTGGAGGAGGATTTTTTGGAATTTGTAATAAAACACGCATTAGATGTAAATCTGAATTAAGTGGTTCACTTTTTGCTAATTCAATTGATGTTATACCAAGTGACTATATATTCGTCTACAATATATTATGAGAATTATTAGTCAAACTACTCCTATTGACATATATCTTATCTATCAATATAATTTATTATAGAAAGATTTTTTTTCAAATATTTCTTTATTTAAGTTTCAATTTATTTAATTAATAGAAACAAAAAAAAAACAAATCAATGACAATTCAATAAAAAAAGCGAAATTAAATATAAACATTGAAATAAATAAAGAATAAAAATTTTGATATGATTTGATGATAAACTTAAAGAAAGATAGTGATTTGATGATTCAATTTAATGTTGTAATTGAATATTCATTTGTGGAGGTTCTTTCTTATTATTATCATTTGATTTAGTTGATGATGAATTTATTGGTTTCGATATTGTTTTATTATTATCGTTATCACAATTTTCATATTCTTTTCGAATTTCTGCAGTATTTTCATCAGCTGTTGCTCTAGCTGCCGATTGTTCTTCATTAGCAATAGCTGAATTAATAGAGTCAGTCATTTATCTAAAAAAGCACAAAAAATAAAAATATCCTGCTTGATTTATTTTATTGTTGAATAAATAATTAAATTCTTGAGACAATTATAGTAACAACAGGTATATCACTATATATTTCTTTAATTGATTGTCGAACTTTTTCCATAATACGTTCTCGTATTAAATAAATATCTTCATATTGTTTAGATCGATAAGTTTCTAAATGTTGAATTAACCAGTTTGGTGTCATTAACATAAAATCAAGATCAAACGAAAGAGGTGTTCGATGTATATTAATTGTACATGATTCAAGTTTAAGTTCATATTTATTTGATATTTCTTCTAAATATTTTCTTGAACGACTTGTTTTTGATTTCTTTTTATTCAGTGTTGAAAAAAAAATTGGATAATTAAAAAAAATTAATGCATCATTAATATATGTTTCTATGAAATGATTTTTTTGATAATGTTCAGTTTCATCAAATGAATGATACCATACTGTATAAATAAAATAACCTATTTTAGGTTTAAGTAATTTTGATATAACTGGATATATATTATCTTCAGACATTAAATGCATTGATGCATTACAAAGAATAAAATCAAAATAATCTCGAGGTAAATCATTTGTTGAAAGGCAATCTTCAGCAGACATTTTATATATATGATTACTTTTAATATTATTTCGTGCATGCAAATACATTCTTTCAGCTGGTTCAACAAGATATAATGATGATGGTGATATATTAAGACATTTAATTAATAATTTTGAAACTAAACCAGTTCCAGCAGCTAAATCCATAATATGAATATCTTTCAAATTGGTTAGTCGATGATTTTCAATAAATTTGATCATATTCATAGCCATATCAGAAAATATTTGATAATTATTAATCAATATATGATAAGGATCAGCACGCATATGCCATGAATCAATTATTTCCTTTCGTTCATTATTATTCATTTTTTTTTTATATATCAACAATAATAAATAAAAAATATATTAAATAAATAATTTTTTTATTTTCTTGGAAGATCTATTCACTTTTTACTTCATATATTTTAAACAATAATCATAAGCAAAACAAATCATTTTTCAATGTTATTCTCACACATCATTTCACAAATATATTAAAACAAACAAACAAACAAAGGGTCTGAGAAAAAAAAAAGGAAAGATGCAACTCATATAGACGAATATAAAGCGAAGTATAGATTTATATCGATTAAGAAAACAAATTAAGTTAAGAATGTTGACTAAAATAAAATCACTGTCATTGATACAAATATGATTTATTACTTTGTTTTGTTTTTTTTTTCGGAATGAAATATAAGAAATAATAAGAAACATGTTGTATTTAATCAAATGAATAAATATGAAATGATGATATTTTTTTAATATAAAAATTATGTTTATCTGATATAATGATAAGATATTCAAATAAATAAATAAATAAATATAAACTATTTAAATAGTCATTTTAATAACACCTGATGTTATTTGAATATGATTATTGTCTGTTGTTGATGTTTGAGAAGTATTATTTCCTTTGGATATATGTTCAGACATAATTCGACTGAAATCATTGCTTAGATTTGGATGACGTAAATTATCATTTTGAAATAAACGTCGTAAATTTTCAAATAAATCTACACCTTGTTCGGCATTACGTCGAACATTATTTGAAGATGAAATATTATAACGAATTGAAAGCTATATAGAATAAATAGATTTTTTATTAGACATATATTATTTGGTTGTTTTTTTTTTTTAAATTAATATTACATCATCAAATATTGATTTAAATGGTGGATTTACTTCAATCGATTCTTTTGACTAAAATCAAAAATAATTTTATTATAAATATACAACAACAAAAATAATCTACTCTTCAATTTTGACTTGAATATTTATTTTAACTAATATCATCAACAACAAAAAAAACTCATGTTTTAACTAAATGTTCAATGCTTTAGTTTTCTTTTTCAAATTTTATTATTTTCGAGTTATTTTCAGATGAAAAACAAAGCAAAATTATTATAGAAAACGACCATTGAAAATAACTGATTATAGAGCCGATGGAGTTTTCGACAACTATTGACGAGAAAAGCTCAAGTTTTTTCAAAAAAAAAATTATCTTCTAGGTAAAACTAGTCTTATTAAGATATAAAAATATTGCTCATTTATCATATAGATCAACGAGCAAAGAGAAAACTACTTATTCTTGGTATAGAAAACGTCTAAACGAAAAATTGTTTTTTGAATATAGATTTTTTTTTCAAATTAAGTGATTATGATAAAATGAAATAATTAACATAACATACAATATGATTATAATTAACTGCTGATTTGACTGTTCCAGCTCCATATTCCCATTGATATGCATCATGTTTTGATCTAAATATAAATAAAATAAATAAATATCATATATAAATAAATTGTTTATTTAACAAACTGTTCTTCATCTGAATTTGATTCACTATCAGATTTAGTTCCATTATCATGTTTTTTTTTCCAATTTTGATAACGAACTATTAATTCTATTAAATATTTTGTTGATTTTGTTGTTGAAACAAATTTAAATCGACGTAATTGTGTAGATGTTGGTCTCTTATTAATAGAAAATAAATAAAAGATAAAATTAATTTTTCTTTTTTTTTTTGAATTATTTTTTCTAAATACATGTTCAGGATTTTTTTGTAAACAAGCTTCAACAAATTCTCGAAATGCATCGGAATAATCTTTTACAGGTAATTGTGGTGGTGGATTTTTTGGAATTTGTAATAAAACACGCATTGGATGTAAATCAGAATTAGGTGGTTCACCTTTTGCTAATTCAATTGATGTTATACCAAGTGACCATATATCAGCCTATAATATATTATGAGAATTATTAGTCAAACTAGTCCTATTGACATATATATCTTATCTATCAATATAATTTATTAACGAAACAATTTTTCAAATATTTCTTTATTTTATTTAATTAATAAAAATTGAAATTAAATCGAGAAAAATTCAACGGTAGATCATAATTCATATCTGTTATTTGCATGTTACAGTTTCATTAGAAATCCTATTAAGTGAGATTTTCTTTTATTGTAAATAGAAAATTTAATTTGTTCTGTTATGATTATTATCGAAAATGTTCATATCAGAATTCTTTTTTTTAAATATTTCTGTTTATCTATGAAATACATCACGTATTATTTCAAGATATTCTTATGTATATAAGATATTTTATTGTTTTATTTATAGATGAAATAATTAAACTATTAGCTATTTACCTTCATATTGTTCATGGCAAAGAAAAAATTTGAGTAGAATTTTTATATAATAATCTTTGATTAGATTCGAATATTAGTTAATAATTTAGTCTAGTTTTCTGAGCATTTTATCAGTCAAGAATTCTTTTTTTCGATAGGTAACCTCTTGATTTATGTATTCTGTTAATTATTAATGTAAACACATTCGAATAAAAAAGCTATTTTTGATAGGGAAATGGAATTTTTATTCAATTAGTTAGAAGAAGAAAAAATACTATATGCATACAGGATATTAAATTTTATTTATGGATTGACGTGCTATTTTCTACACATATTATTCTATATATATATATTCTCTTATAATAAATATATTAGCTGATGAAAAGACAAATTAGGAAAAGTGACGATTAATTATGATCTACTGATTATTATTGTGTAAAATATCTCTTATCTTTGAAAATGTTATCTAAATTTCAATTATATGTTTTACTGATGTGCATTCAACATATTTCTCTATGAATATAAAACGTCATTATTTTCATAATTTTACATATAAATAAAAGAAAAGAAAATTAACGAATATTTAAATAAGCTAATCGTTATGTTATATTTGAAGTCAATGCCTTTATTATTCTTAACCCTTAAAAGTCGAAGGGGGTTCCCGTAACAATTTGAAAAAACTAGCCATGGGAACTGAGCTTCTGACTCATTAGCATGATTATATTATCGTAAAAAAGAATTATTTTTTCTTATCGAGATACAGAATGTCCCTTGGAAGAGACATTCGGTCATGATGATCCAAAATTTTTCACTATTCTGAGTTAATGTAACAAGAGTTTTTGCTTTGAAATAATTTTACTTATTTGTTTTTTATTACTTAAAAAACGAATTGAAGCAATATTTTATACTTTTTCAAAGTTTACGCACTCTCTGTTCCAATATAAGGCTTGCTCGTAAATGTTTTGGCCCGTTAAGATCGAATGTTCCTTCCAAGGGACATTTTCTTGATGATGTCATCATGCATCAATAAATCGATTAAAAAATTCAAAGATGGTCTCATTCGATAGCCTAATGCTGCGCCTTGCGATGTCATTCACAAAAAAATAGACTTTCACACTGTATTAATAAATGAGCAAAAGTTTTAAAGTAAAAAAATGACGTTCAAAAAATTATATGTCTTAAAAACCTCATTGTT